ACCTCTCTAGTCTCTAAAACTGTCACTCTAAGCAACATACATTGAACCTACACATCCAACACTTGAACATCAAACCAAAGGGGATTCCATCCCACCCAAATCCTACCATACTCATGAGCATCATAATTATGAGTCCAATTCCAATTATATTTCACTCTCTTGGAAATAGAATCAAAAACACCTTTCTTCACCTTAGTTTCCACAAAACAGACAAACTGAAAAGCTTCTTTAGCTATCCATTTAGTAACCTCCTTCTGTCTTCTAAGCTTGTTCAAACCCCTAACATTCCAAAAACCAATCATTTAGAAGTCGAGTGTGGGGTAGGAACCCCTACATGACTTCTAGTAACCCTATCCGAAGCTGATAGTGCTCTATATCTAGATTTTTTACTAACAGTTCCCTTACTATCTTTATTCATCTGAGGGGGAGTATTCCCTCCCAAAAGATCTTCACCATTTAGCAAAGAAGGCATTGTATTAGTAATTTCAGCAACCATATTCACTTCCACATTAGTAACCTGCTCCACTTCCTCAACAAAACCAGAATATAGTTCCAAATTAACACCTTAAGTCAAGACCTCCTCAACGTGATCTTCAATTTTAGGGATTTTGTCCACAACCTTAGCTAAATCAACTCTCTGCGTCTCAATTTCTGAAATCTCTTCCACCACATTCTCAAGTAATGCAAAGGAATTATGAGTAACAACTTATGTGCTCTGAACCGGCTTCATAGACATTTCAGTAGACACCTGGTGCACTACCTCAGCCTCCACCATTTTACCTTTTTTCTTCACAATCCATTTATCAACCAACTATTTTTTTGGCTTATACAAAACTCTTTGAGGACATATGTCAACAGCGTGATCCACCCGTTTACACAGAGAATAAACAATTGGCTTCCATTCATACTCAACATGAACTTTACAATCTTCCCCATGGAAATCAACCACCATATCTTTTGGTAAATCCTTATGCACATCAACCTCTACCATAACACATACATATTGACCTTTATCTCGATGTAAAGCCGGATCATCTATGGAAATTGGCTTCGAGAAAAGAGAGTGGACCTTTGAAAGGGAAGTTAAATTATGGCAGTGAACCGGAAGGTCATGGACGCGGGTCCATATTGGCAAAGTATCAAAATTTTCCCTCTGTAAGATAATATTTTTACTCCATTTTTTTATGATGATCACTTGTCCTTCAAAGGTATGAATACGAGACAAAACCTTTTAAATATCATCTGAGTGTTGAAAACGTACCCTTAAAAATCCATTTTTCAGATAAACCAGTGTAACATCCTTAGACCAATGTTTCTCAATGAGTGCTTTGAAGTGGGGATAGTAGGGTCGTTTACCCATCACATAACCCACAACTGAATCTTTCCAGTAAAGTATTTCATCTGCGACATCTTTTTCCATCATAGAAACCTTCGAACCTTCACCCGGAGGAATATACTGCAGAGTAATAAAGGAGGTAACGTCATTTCCTTCAAAATAGCTTCGTCATGAATGACGAGGTGGTATTAGTAAAGGAGTTTACCGTTCAATAGAAACTGCCGGTGGAGGGGAGGAAGTAGAGGCCCCCTCCATCATGATCCAGCCCTACGTACACCAAACGCATGCAAACCCTAAACCCAGATCATGCAGATTAGAGAGAAAATTGGTAGTTTAGGAAATTATTCCTGAAGGCATTGTTAAGTTGAAGTTGTTTCTGCAAAACCGATTCCAAACTAAAGACTTGGGTGAACTCAAATATATTTTGGGTATTGAAGTTGCTAGAACAAAGGAAAGTATAAGTTTATCTCATAAAAAATATGTGTTGGACTTATTAGAAGAAACATGTATGTCAGGTAGTCGTCCGGATACTGCTCTTATGGTTCTAAATACAAAACTCTTATCTAATGAGAGTGATCTATTTAATGACCTTAGCAAATATCATCGACTTGTTAGGAAATTAATTTATGACCTTGGCAGATATCGATAAATTATTGGGAAATTAATTTATCTCACTATCACTCGGCCTAATATTTCATATGCAGTGAGTGTCGCAAGTATGTTCATGGAAGCTCCTAAGATGCTACATTCCTAAGATGCCATATTGGAATGTTGTTCTTCGAATTATCCAATACCTTAAACAAGCTCCAGGTTTTGGGCTGCCGTATAAATCTAATGGACATCTCAGGGTGGAAGGCTTTACAGATGGTGACTGGATTGGTTGTCCCCAAGGGTGGAGCTAGGAATTTGTTCAGGGGGCACCGTATTAAAGAGGATAAATTATATTTTTTTCAAGCGAATAGTGATGTAAGACAATAAGTCAAAAAATAGAATTGTAATAATGGTGGAGTAATATCATTTAATAATTTGAAAATAATTATTTAAAAAAAATGGAAACATAAAATACCGACCTTAAGAATCCTTTTAGTAACAAATTTAATTACCAAATTTTGAAGAGAAAAAAAATTGTTTGAACAAAAGAATGCAAATTTTTTTTAAAGAGAATATAAAAAAGAAGAAGAAGAAGCAAAGCAGGAGGAGTAAGAATGAAAAGAAAAGACAAATTCAAGATATTTTTAAAAAATAATTATTTTAGTGGGCATTTTTCTAAAATTTTATAAATTATAGGCCTATTTGCAATAAAAATTAATTGGCCCAAGGGTAAATAATTATTTCAGGGGGTATTTTTTGCTTTTTTTTTATATAAATTATTGGCCTATGTGTAATAAAAATTAATGGTTGTTTTCTAGAAAAAAATTACTTTAGAGGGGACATTTTGAAAACTTTTATAAATCATAGGACAATTTATAATTAAAACTAATGCACCGACATGGGCCTAGGGGCATGTCCCCCCCCAGAAAATAATTATTTAAAAAAAAATGGAAACATAAAATACCGACCTTAAGAATCCTTTTAGCAACAAATTTAATTACCAAACTTTGAAGAGAAAAAAAATTGTTTGAACAAAAGAATGCAAATTTTTTTTAAGAGAATATAAAAAAGAAGAAGAAGAAGAAGAGCAGGAGGAGTAAGAATGAAAAGAAAAGACAAATTCAAGATATTTTTAAAAAATAATTATGTTAGTGGGCATTTTTCTAAAATTTTATAAATTATAGGCCTATTTGCAATAAAAATTAATTGGGCCAAGGGTAAATAATTATTTCAGGGGGTATTTTTTGCTTTTTTTTATATAAATTATTGGCCTATGTGTAATAAAAATTAATGGTCGTTTTCTAGAAAAAAATTACTTTAGAGGGGACATTTTGAAAACTTTTATAAATCATAGGCCAATTTATAATTAAAACTAATGCACCAACCCCCCCCCCCCCCCCCCCCCGGGCGCGAGGGCCCATGCTGGCTCCGACCCTGGTTGTCCCTCAGATAGGAGATCTATTACATGCTACTGCACATTTGTAGGAGGGAATCTTGTTGCATGGAAAAGTAAAAAGCAAACGATGGTAGCACGGCCTAGTGTTGAAGCTGAGTATAGGGCCATGGCACATATGTCCAGTTAGTTGACATGGCTACAACATTTTCTTAAGGAACTTGGGTTGATCGTCAAAACTCCCATTCCATTGTTGTGTGATAACCATGCAGCTATTCATATTGCATCTAATCTTGTGTTTCATGAGACGACCAAGCATATTGAAGTTGATTGTTACTTCATTTGAGAAAAAATATTAAGTGGAAGTATCTCTATTCCATTTGTGAAGTCTGAAGATCAGTTAGCTGATACGTTTACCAAAGCACTTGGTCATAATCAGTTAAGGACTCTCTGTTCCAAGCTGGGATTATATGATATACATTCTCTAGCTTGAGGGGAGAGTGTTAGAATATATATATATATATATATATATATATATATATATTGGGTCAATTTGTAATCTACTTATAGTTTGTGGCCTTAGTATAATTAGGCCTTTCTTACATTTGTATATAACCCCTATTTTCATTAGGGTTTAAGTAATGATAATAGATTGTAGTACCCTATAATCCAATGGTTTATTGTATACTTTTCTTCCTCTAACTTAGGGTTACAAATAGTACCTAGAAACTTCATCTTTATTGAACTTAGCCTCACCTTTTTTTATTTATAAAATGTAAAAAGTCAATTACCCAAAAATCACTATATTCGAAAAGTTAGCACCGGTGCCATTCTGTTGTAAATAAATTAAGATGGTTTCAAATAATTGAGGTCCAAAAAGTCAGATTTTATTTGGAAAATGGTTCTTGAAATTGGCTTTGATAGCTTGAATCTTACTTCAATGTCTCAGTCCTGAAACAATGGCTCTTAATAGTCTAATCAACTTGTAGTGATTATAACATCAAATTGAATTTTGAATTTTGGAGCAACACCAATCAATCAATGGATACCACAATTCTATGCTAGTTAAATTAAATTTGTGGTAACAATCCTATTGTGAAACAATTAACATTAATTTTTTTTTTTTTAAAGTGAATATCTAACCGATTAAATAATGATAATCAATAAACCATAATAAAGTGATATCATGTGAGACTCACCGTGAATATTAATTTCTGTTTGTCTATTTTATTTTGTATTATTTAGTTGGGCTATTTAACGGGCATGAAAAACATTGCCAATCCTGTAAACAAAATTTTAGTTTATTGGTGGAAAAACCATATCTTCCATATCCAAAATTTTAAAATCCAACAAAATAAACTCATTTCATTGACTCATTGCCATCAAAATTGAAAGCAACATATTAAAGTTACAGCAAAACTAAGAAAAATTACTACTTAACAAGGGGAGATAAAAGTGGATCCAAAACCTAACGAGGAAATATCAAAATAACTAGTTTGTTGGCAAAAGAAAAGAAAAAACCTTAATCAAATTAGACTCATTGCTTATACTAAGATACAATGCAGCAACCACCACACTAAAAAAAACTAGAATAATAATAATTTAATAATAATAATGCATTGTGAGTGTTTTTAGATAATTACAATAACTAATTCTGGAAATGGACTTCTATTATGCAACTTTTTGGTGTGATTCAAAAAGATTAAAGGAAATCAATAACCTCTTCGAACTTAATTCTTGGGCTACGACTTTCACTGAATCCAACACTTTCATACTTAAACCTCTACTTGTAAAGCTGGAAGAACCCAACTACAGGGCTCGAACTAGGTTTAGGGCATAGTGTTCATCATTCAAACACTTTCAGCGAACCAGAAAGAGAAAATCAGATCACTGCAAATCTAAGAAGCTCCACGCTTTACAGGCAAGTACTCATCTCTACACTCTTCGCTTTGATTGATAGCATATTATATGTGTATGTATCTTCAAGAAATGAGGACTATTTATATCTGCAAAACTCTCGTCTCACTCTCTCTCAACAATTCTTCACATCTCAACAAAACCCCAATCTCTCTTTTCTCTCAACACTTCTTCTCTTCCTCTCCCAAAAGCCCCAATGCGGTGGCTGATTACTTGATTGAGAGACACAAATTGTCTCTTGAAACTGCTTCGAAAATCTCTTCTCCCAATCTGAAAGGCCCGAAAAGATCGATTCGATTCTGTCATTTCTCGAGGAAAGTGGTGTTTCGGATACGAATCTCAAGCGTGTCATCAAACACGCGCTTCAACTTCTCTCTGCAAATCTTGAGCTTTCCATCAAACCCAAATTCAAGTTTTTTCAAGACTTGGGTATTTCTTCTAGCGATGTTGTGAAAATTGTTTCGGCTGACCCTCTGATTCTAACTCGTAGCGTTGATAGTCAGCTGACCCCATCGATTTTAGCATTGAAGAGTGTTTTGGTTTCGAATATGGATGTGTCTAGGGTTTTAAAGAAATCTGGGTTGTTTTTGAGGTATGATTTGGTGAAAACTATGATACCCAATATTGAATTTTTGAAGAGCTGTGGCATTAGTTTGTCGCAAATAACTCGATGTGTCTATAATACCCCACCATTTTTCACCAATAAACCGACCAGAGTTAAGAGAATTAGTCAAGAGGGTTGATGAGATTGGCTTTGACAGGAACTCTAAGATGTTTCTTCCTGCGATTCAGGCTATTAGTTCTATGACTGTAGAGAATTGGGAGTTGAAATTGGAGGTCTTTAAGAGTTTGGGGTTTTCGGAAGATGACATTTTGTCAGTTTTTAGGAGAGCACGTCAGGTATTTGCTCTGTCAGAGAGGAAAATTAAGGCAACAACACAGCTTTTACTTAGCACAGGCAAATGTGATATCTCACATGTTGTTAAAAACCCAGATTTACTTGGTTACAGTGTTGAGAGTAGGCTTAAGCCACGGTTAAGAATTCTGGATGTTTTGGAAAGCAGGAATTTGCTTCTTAAAAAGCGGAGTTTGGCAACTGTGTGCAGGATGACTGATAAGAAGTTCTTTGAGAAATATTTACTCCCTCATTCAAATGAAGTTGGCAAATTATTTGTGGCTACAAGGCCTCGTTGAAGGCATAAATATGTGCTTAAGATCATGACTTCATTTGTGACTTAATGATTTAATACCTAGAGACGGGTGTGACTGAATCTTTTTTCCAAAAAGCAAATGACTTGGCGGTATAGCATGGCAGGTAAGTAGGTACTATTTTCTTCTATCCATATGGTGCACTACTGAGAAAAACAAAGATTAATTTTCCAGCTGGCTGTATAATTTCAAACGTGTTGAAATATATCCTTAATTTAACATTTCTTTTTTCTTTTTTCAAATTTTCAATTGAGGCATCATGTTGAATAATCCTGATAGGTATTCTATCTTGCTCAAGCTTTCTCATTTTGTGTGAGGCAATGATTATTAAGTATCTGCACGTATAGCCACGATCTTATTCTTGACATATAATTTTGTCATTGTGCAGAATTGTATGCTGTTTTAAGTTTTGTTTCTCATTTATATTGGTGCTTATAGTACTTATGCATGTCAGTACTGATCTACCAATATAACTATGATTTAGGGAAGTAATTAAGGTTCTTCTTCCAGTGCTAGCGGTATCCCGAACGAATTTGTCTGCATTCTGCAGGTTCTTCTTGCAATAGTGAATTTTGACTTAGATTCACTGACTACTACTTAATTGTTTTTCTATAGCATATTTGATGTGGCTTCTTTTTTGATTTCCTTTCCTACAAATTTTGCATTTTTAGGAACTTCTGAGATGATTCTGGTTTAGTTTGTGGAACTCTGTTACCACCTTGAGACTGGATTGACAAAAAGATTAAGCACTGCAGTATAGAATGTTATAGAAACTAGTCAGAGGAAGTTATTACATGAAGAGTTCTGGACTGAATTGATACAAGAGATTAAGCACCGCGGCTTATGTTTTTTCTGAGAATCAACTTCCCTTTTAAGGTCACTCCCATGAACTAGCTGAGTTGATCTGTTGATGTCAGTTGGTTGGAGCAATAGTGTGTGTGTATATCTTACCTACCAAAAAAGAGTTGATGCTGGAGAGATGTTAAATATGATATCTACTTGTTGTTCTGAATTCTATGTCGTTTGATTTTTCTTAGCATGGTTAAAAAAATGTTCTCTCTTGTTTGGTTTCCTCTACTTCTCAGCCCAATATCTAGTCAGCAGAAGAGTGTAGGGTAGATTTATCCCAGGGCATTTGTAGCTTGTGGGGGTCTATGATTCTGCATTATATCGTAATCCTCAGACTCGAGACAGCTCTGTTTATCCCAGGCAGGCAGCATTAGACAGCTCTCGTTATCCTCAGACTTGAATTCTGTAGAGATGTCTCATATATCTGATGAGATTTGGTTGATTCTAGTGCTAAGATAGTATTACCAATGAGGTAGCGGATCTCTCATTTGAGGTGATTCTAAGGTAGTGTTATTATGGCAGATGTGGTCGTTGCTACTGAGAAAGTTTTATGTTGTCATAGTAGTAAATAAAGTCATGTTGATATAGCTTGTTGCAAGCTGGGATGGAGCCATGAATACTGTTCACAAGCGCCCGTGTTTTTTTTTTTTTTTTTGGGGGGGGGGGGGGGGGGGGGGGGAGGGGAACAAGATCCCTCTCCTGTACCTGTTCCCTCAAGGCAGTGATACTACTTACAAAAATGTCTGGTTGGGATGTTCGCTAGAAATCCCCCAATTTTTTTGTTAAGAGCATCACCAATTGGACGGAACATGATGACTGATCCGTTGGAGAAGATCCGGGCCTGATCTGTTGGGTGGCACATGCCTCCCCAGGCCTTAATTCGCTCCGTCCATGGTGGCAAGGCCATCTTGTGAAAATTGGATAAGTGAGTTCAGCAGTTGGCTAAAGCCAACAAAAGGGGGACTAGAGAAATTTGACAAAAACCCCTTTTTAAGTGGAATATTTGATCTGAGAAATTGGTTGAAATTGAAATAGTTGTGGTGGTGGTAATAAAAAGAATTGCAAGTAGTTTCACAAACGAAATGCTGTTGACCTCACCGCTCAATGTGCAAAATTAGCTATTCTTTCATTCAATCAAATAAATCAAAACAGAGCATATGTAATGATAAAGGCAGGCATATAAGTTGCCTAATTTCATGGATTCTAACTTGTAGGGTTGCAGAAAGGGAGAGACGCATGGTAATTCAGTCAGGAATTCAGTTGAAAAAAAAAAATAATAAAAGGCGCCTATTTAAAAGATATTATAAAGACTGACAATCCAAAGAAAAAAAAAATACAATTTGAGAGTAAGGAAAACACAACAGAATGGAGAAAATATTAGATGGTCCTTGACTATGTCCAACAGGCGCTTTCCAATTAAAGAAACTGGACTCATCAAAATTATAAAAAACCTAATCATGAAGTTTGATTGAATTGAACCACCAAAAGACTTGGTGGTGAACAAGCTAATAATTTCTCAAGAGAATGGCACAATCCTTTATTATTTTCACCTTTTGTCCAATGCTACCTGAAATAAGTTTGTTATGATCTTAATATAGTCTAACACAATCAATTCAAAATGATGATCTCCAACACTCTATTAATATTAAGTTAATCTAACAAAATATTAAAAGGAATTGTCATCATTAAACCCCACTAGAACCATTAATTTCTAAGTTCTATTTTAGAACATTAGTCATTGAATTTATTAATTCATTATATATTCTTCAAGTTTCTAACTTTAGATTGATTCAAAATTGTTTACGACTTGTTCATTAGCATAAACAGTTCAGGGTATGTCTAAATTTATGAGGACAATAGGCATACATGATTAATGAAAACAACAAATTAGTTTAACAAAAAATGAGAGCATATGGAGTTGGAATTTTCCATCTACAAAGTAATTTATGGCTATTGAAATGTTGAATGAGGGAATTAAGCGGAAGAGGGGAAAATAGACTTCGAAAATTTGTGAAAGTAATGAAGAGGGATTTGAAGGGCATATAGATAAAAATCTAGAATGAAATGTGATTGCAGTAATTATCACTGAGATTGGAATAAAGTAGTATTTATTTAACCTTACAAATTCAAAGGGTTTATCCTCGTAATTATGTGTGTTAGAAGGTGTGTTAGAAGGAGACGTTAGATTGTAGTTAATTGGTGTTGTAGTATGTGCTAGAGGTCGTTGAATCTGTGAATCATGTACTCCTTCATTGCTTGGTGGTAAGGGATGTTTGGTTTATGTTCTTGACAGCATTTGGTCTTCTTTGGGTGTTTCCAGAATCCAGACACACTGGAGACTTAAAAAGGGTGTATGGTGGAGAGCAGAGTCAGAGATACTTGGAGGCTACTCTCCTTTGTATTTGGTTGGATCTATGGCGTGAGAGGATTAAGAGGTCCTTAGAGGGAGAGGAAGCTCCTATTTGGTCTCTTAAATACAATATTCTTCTTTTTTATTCTTTTGGGATTATGGGTGGGATTGTACTTTCTATGGATCATCTTTTGAATTTTGTAGATAACTTAAAGTTATAGCATTTATGTATTCTTCTTTTGTTCCTTTGGGAGCGCTCCCGTCTGAGTGCTTTTTATGAAATCTTACTTATCAAATATATATATATATATATATATATATATATATATATTACTACATATTATCAAAAAAATTGGTAGGGCGCCTTGAACAATTAGATGTTCTAAATCAAAACATAACAAAATAAAAAAATTTAACACTGACAAAATTTGACATTGAGGCTCCGTTTATTTCAACGTAAAATATTTATTTTGAAAAATATTTTTCTTTTTCAGGTTATATATATCGATGTTTGGCAAAGGTGTACGTCGAAGTTGAGGTCGAGTCTATCGGGCGGACCTATAAAATAACTTGTCGAAAATTGATGAATAAGTTATTTTTGTTATATTTTAATATTTTTTTTCTTCGTAAATATTTACGACAACCAAACACTAGAAAATAAAAAAATATTTTCTTAAAAATATTTTACGTCCAAATAAACGGAGCCTTAATAAAAAGCAAATGGAGAGGGTAAAAAGTTCTATCTATATTTCTTTCTGCTTAGGACCACCGCCAAGGACCGTAACTTAACTTTTTCACTTTCAAAGTAGAAAGTCAATGATTCAAAATAGAATTTAATTTTTTCTCAAATTATTAAATATGCCTTCCGGAAAGTATGAATCAAGATATTAAAAAACTAGAGAGAGAGAAACCAATTCATTCTAAAAAAAAATGAGGAGTTATTTTGAAATGACATAGGTTAAAATCATTGACCCAGGAGTTATTTTCTACGATACTATGGGTTTTTGTTCGATACTAGGGGTTTTTGTAGAGCATTATCGGCCCTAGATTTAAGTGAAATGATATATATTAAAATTAGGGTTAAATGCAAAAAACCCCCCTGAACTATCGGGGGTTTTGCAACTAACCCCCTTGAATTAAAAAAAAAACCCTGAACTATGAATTTGTTGCAATTTGCCCACTCAGGCCACCGGAAAAGTAAAAAGACGAAACTGCCCTTCCAAGTTTGTTATATACTCAATACAACCAAACCCGAAGCCACACACACTGCAGAAATGGAAGAAGTGGCGGCAGCACTGGTGGAGATCTCTTTGCAATTCGTCAACCGTGGATGTGGAACAGAGCATCGATCATCGTCGTAGCCGCCGAGCGAGAGAGAGAGGGGTGAAGGTGATGGCAGCCGGCGCGTGAGAGAGAGCTCGGCGGTGTGGGTTGTGGATATTTCGGCTGGTAGAGAGCTCGATGGTGTAGAACAGCGACTAGGGAAGTCGCGATTCTGGCACAAATCAGAGAATGGCACAGCGGTGACGGATCTGGCGTTGGCGACAACGGCTTGTGTGCGTCGGTGATTGATAGAACAGCGGGCAAGATGGGTTGTGGATGAACTTCGGCAGTGCTCGGATGGGGGCGAGACGGTGACGGCGAGCTTTCGCAGCGGTGGGCGACGGGTTGTGGAGAAGATCAAGGCAAGGATAATGGATACTTGGGTGAGTTGTTTGCTTGCACTTAATAACTTTTGATTAAAATTATAATGCTTACTATTCCTGAATGGACCTTCCTTGCTGCCACCAGCACCACCATCAGAAATAAAAAATTGCACAAGAGATACTTAATATTGTTTGTTTTCATCTGAATTTTTTTGTTCTTCAGATGTGAGTTGTCCATAAGATTCGACTTGGATTTGGAGATGGACCCCGGCAATAAAATATGAATTTAAAACCAAAAACATGGATCTTGCTTCATTTTGATTACACAGTTTGGTGTTGGATTTCAAAAAATATGTGGGTCAAATCAATTAAATATGAGTCTGAATTGGATTTCTTTCTCAAAACTAATACTCCTGGGTTGTTTTTGGCTCACACTTTTCCATTGAATTCTATTCTGAATTATATTCTTGCACAAGGGATTTCTATGACAACAAATAATGTCTCAATTAATCATGGGAAACAGGGAACTGTGTTTTTGGGTTGTATTTGGGCTTAAATCTTAACACGTTGAGAAAATATGGTAGACATCAGTAAACTGCAAGTAATTTTGATTCATTTAAGTAGGTTGTGATCCTGGTTGGTCTCACTATATTCATTCTGCCAGATGTTGGAAAAAACAGCTGAGTATAGCAAAGGATGCTCGCCGTGTTGATGTCCTCTGTCATAGGATGTTCTTGAGTTACAGGCTCCTGGATGGAACTTCCATGTTTAAACAACTGCATGAAATTGTTAGCGATGCCAAAGACCAAATTAGAAATAGAGGTTGGTCCAGTGAATGGAGTTTCGTCCAAGATGGCACGGGGCATCGTCAGCAGACTTTTTGTTGCAGTTGATGTGCATAAACTCTGCTCTCTTGCAATTGAGAAGGTAGATGAACGGCTGGCCACCATTTCTAACAGGAATCCAAACTGCGGAGGTTATTACCCATAATCATTTGTTTATATTTACTTCCAATCATTCAAAAGAATTATAGGCAAGTGCTCAGATGGGGGTGAGACGGTGATGGCGAGCTTTCACAGTGGTGGGCGACGGGTTATGGAGAGGACTCAGCCGCAATGAGGTGCTTCACGGTGTGATGGCAGCGGCGAGCTTGCCTTCGGATGATGGTGGTGGTAGTGGAGCCACCACTAATGACGACTCATGGTGCAATTAATTTGGGGTGATTACCAGTGACGACTCGTGTGTATATCTATATATATATAAATATATCGATTGAGCTTTGGTGTTTCAGTACGAATTACTGTATTTGAATTGATTCAATTGGGAAATTGTTTGAGAAACGTTTGTGGCTACGGCGGTGATGGCAGTGGCTGGACTGGTTCACTATGAATTATTTAAATTTTTTAAAATTGTGGTTCAATTGCTTCGAATGGTGGTGGCAGTGGGATTTTAGTGTGATTTGGGTTAAACGACTTTCGGTGTGGAAGATGGGCTTGTCGGTGTTGAACCACGAACGCCTGCTGTTGAAGATGGTGAACAGTTATAGGGCGTGTTTGGGTATGCTATGGGGTCTATGGAAATTATGGGCATTTTAGTCCTTTCATGCATATAAGGGCAGTATGGTCTTTTAAAATAAGTAAATTATTTTTAACGGCCAAAACTTGCCGGATTTTTGCCGGATGGAGTTATCTGAAACAAAATTGAATAGTTCAGGGGGTTAGTTGCAACTTTTGTAGTTTAGGGGGGTTAATTGCAACTTTGTCAATAGTTCAGGGGGGTTTTTTGCATTTAACCCTTAAAATTATAACAATTCAACTTAAGATTTAGGTGAAATGACACATGTCAAAATCATAATAATTCAACTTAAGATTTAGGTGAAATGACACATGTCAAAATCATAACAATTCAATTTAAAATAATGTAGAGAGATTTTAACTTAGAGGATCCTAGTCTGCACGTTAGATTGTGTGCTATTTTAACCTATTTGTCCAACCGAACCCCTTTGCTAGGCATCTTAGATTGCCAAGTATTTTAACCTATTTGTCTAACCGAAGAGGTTTCTCCTTTGCTAGGCACCTTAGATTGCCGACTATTTTAACCTATTTGTCTAACCGAAGAGGTTTCTCCTTTGCTAGGCACCTTAGATTGCCAAGTATTTTAACCTATTTGTCTAACCGAAGAGGTTTCTCCTTTGCTAGGCACCTTAGATTGCCGACTATTTTAACCTATTTGTCTAACCGAACTCCCTTGCTAGGCACCTTAGATTGCCGACTGTTTTAACATATTTGTCTGATCGAAAGGGTTTCTATCCAATTAATAGTGGTGATAAGCTCAAACACGGGTCCATTCACATTAGACAAATAGGTTTAATCATTTTCCGAATTACTAATTCCTTGTGGCAAAACTTTTTGAAAGTACAATTATAACCTTATAAAAAGCAAAATGTTTAAAGAGAACAAGAAACGTGTATGCATAAACCTGAATTCAATTCATTAAAGATCTATAACACATTAATTTGAACACAACTAATAAATCAGCGAAGCTATAAAACTCTAAACCTCATAATCAAGTAATAATCCTCAGTGTGAGCTAACCTACTTTAATACCCGAGATAAATTTCATCAAAAATATTATACAGCATTAAAGTTCCAATTAAAATATGGTTAATAATAACTAACTAAACATGGAAAATTAATTAGCCAAAGAATTCAAATATATTTCATTTAATAAAAGTAAAAAAGCAATGAAAGACTACTGGCCACGCTATCAACAAAATACTTAGAAGCATTCATCCAAAAGAAACACAATATTTGGAAGGATTTCTAACTAATCAACATAAAAATTGATTCTTTGAAAGTTTACTCTGTTGGCTGAGCAATTTCTCAAAAAGTCGATAAAAGAAAACCTGAGGTGGGTGTCAGCATTTCACCATAATTTTATTAAAGAATGGCACATCTGCCACTTTCAGCTTGCTTGCGAAGCTCCTGCGTCTCCCTCTGAGCTCTCTCTAGATGTTCTCTCAGCTTACGAATTTCATCGTTAGACTTCATTTGAGAAGCTTGTGCAATCTTTTCGGCCTTCAATCGTGCAGCGTGCTCTGCCGCCAACTGATGCTCAAGCCTACAAGTGGTCTCTCTAAGCTTCGACTCAACTATTTCTGTTATTCGCTTCAGCTGCTCGTTATACTCCTTATACGATCTCTGCATTTGCTCCTTCATCTCCGACATCTCCCCTTTAGGACACCTCTCCAAGGAATTAACCTCTTCTGCACGATCACGGAGTTTCATAGCTCCTTCCTTTAGTTCAGTAAATATCTCATCTGTATATGGCTTTCCACCATTCTGTGCCATGACCTTGTTCACAAGGGAAAGAAGCTGCTGAAGTTGTTCAGATTTCTTGAGTGTATCACTAGTCTTGTTGTCGAAAAGCACCAACCGATTTTCACACAATGTCAGGATTTCCTTTAAAGGTTCAGGGCACTCACGGCCTAAGTAATCTTCCAGCGTTTCATCATTTTCCTCGAGGTCATCACCGCCAGTGAAAACCACGATCACGTAATCATTGATTTTGCTTCCAAACAGAGTCCGTAGGCTGTGAAGAGCAGCTTCTTCTTCTTTCGAGAAGCGTGTCCTTACTGAGAAAACAACTAGAACAGCGTGGATGCCGTCCTTGGCCATATTGATGCACTTGACAATTTCTTTGCCGATGAATATTTCAGATTCGGCAGAAAAATCAAATAAGCCAGGAGTGTCGATGACATTAAGAACTTGGCCGTCTTTCAGTACGGTCTTCTGCAGCTCACAAGTACTTGTAACACCAGCTGAACTCGCCCTTGACTTGAATGCCTTCCTTCCAATGATGCTATTGCCAGTTGCACTTTTGCCATTACCGGTACGTCCAACCAAAACCACAGTCTGAACCCCATTTGAAGGAGAAGTGATCTCCCAATCATCGTCAACCCAACTTCCGCCCATTCTAAAAGATCAAATTATATATCTTCAAGGAGAAATTTCAATACAAATCTGAACAATACTTACACGTCTTACAAGATATTAAACAGCTATATAAAACAACAAATGCTTGTTTTGCTATTGAGTTCAAGAATAACATTAGATAGGAGAAAAAAGAAAAAATAACAATAACATGTATTTAAGTTTTTTTTTTTTTTTAAAAAAAAAAAAAAAAATGGGATAGCATTACATTCTTGTTTAGAAAAGGGACATGAAATGAAAGAAAATATTTTAACCAATTTACTATCATGTCCTAACGTTAAGATGGGATTCAAATATGTTTTAAATTTTCTCCTCCAAAATGTTAAGGTTTTTTTGTTATTATGAAAATTTAGTTGTTATTCTTTCTCTCCAAAACCTATCCCTCCAAATCTCTCTTTATTATGTTTATTTTATCTCCTTAATGGCAAATTAAACATGAAAATCACTATCCCTTCCCTTCCCTTCCCTTCCCTTCCCTGTCTTTTCTTTTCTTTTCAAATCATCAACCAAATGAACAGAAAAATTAAAGCAAACAAAATTAGACAAAAGGAATGTGATGACTTTCCAAGAAAAAGGAAAAAGAAAGAAAGAAAGGAATATGATGACTTCGCAAGATAAAAATAAAAGGAAAGTGGTTGTTTCAGAACTTAGAGACTTGATCATTGGGCTTCTATAGTATATCTGATAGTTTTAAAATTATTTTTTCTATTTCATGTCACAAATTTTTTGTGGGTGAAAATACTAAATTTTTGGAAAACCCTTTTGTATATCACAAGTATTCACAACAAATTCAATCCTAAATATATAGCTCTTGCCAACTCAAGCCTATTAATATTCAACTTACTTATGTCTAATAAATTGAAGAGTCATATGATATAGACGAGCTAATAAGAAGAGATAAATTAGTCTCTCCGCCCTAAGATAATGTGGGATAAAGTTATTAGAAGGTCTAAGAATGGATAAAGAGAATTCACGTAGTCGATCCGATCCATTCTTACGGCAAAGATAGCAAGGATATCCAATCGATGATATCAAGGCAAGAATGATGATAGCTCTTTGAAAATTCTCTTGAAAGCAAACCATCTTCAAGAAACTACGTCTTTCGGCATTGCAGGCCAACAAAAGAAACAGACAACAAACAGAAAGAACTGTTCACAAAACTAATTCTGAAAATATAATTAGGGTTTTGACTATAAAATCATACACAGTGGTCTGTTTTGGCGGGCATGTTATTTTTCCTATTGAATTTACTTTGAATTGCCTCCCGTTACAAGATTATATGCACTAAAAATAAACAATAATACTACGTACATATCACACACAAACACATAGCATATAAAACTAAAATAAGAAAAGTAGAAAAGCAATAAACTACTGTAGTTAACGCTTCAAATCACGAGTGAACTGACCAATAACAAACTCTATCGTTCGAAGAAAATAAATCACTTCATAACAATATCGAAGCGAGATAGATAGATAGATTAATAACCAGCGAATGGAATTGCAATCGAATTGATCATAATTTTTCATGACTTTAAAAAATTACGATATAATTACGAATTGAAAGAAAAAAAAATCATAAAATTAGGGTTTTATGGATCCAAGTATATAGCTAAAAAAAATAGGATTTACCTGAGACTGAAAAATCTCTTCGTTGCAGTTTGATATGAAGAAGAAGAGGAACCACAAAAAGATAATTAAATATAATATATATAGAGGAAGAGATAAGGGGGGAGAGAGTAATTGCGTTAAACTCCAATTACCATGTCCAACAAGGACTCATTAATGAACAATGATAGGATTAGTTTTTAAATTAAGGAAAAACTAGATTTTGGTGACTAAAATTAAAAAGATTCGTATTCCGGTGGCTTTAAAGTCGATAAAAGCAAAATTAAAAAGATTCGTATTCCAGTGGCTTTAAAGTCAATAAAAAATAACTACTAATGAAAACTTGAAAAATATTTGGCAATAAGTGATTATTTAATTTTATTGTCCAAAATACCCTTTCATCGATCAAGACATCCCTAATTCCTTCTTTCTCTTCTCCAACCCCATTTTGAAATATCAGACGTTTCAAAAGTCATTATATTAATTTATTTTGTTATCACGGTGCAATTGACTCAAAATTCAAGAAATTATTATAATCAAACCACTAATAAATTTACACATATTTGATATTTAGTACTATAATTCATAGTATTTTGAACTTTAGATCTTTGTATTTAATGGGAAAAAAGTAATCCTAGGGTTGACTCACGGTCATTCCTCTCCAACTTAAGAATTTAGAGATATTGTTATTCAACTGATGAAGAGAATAAGGTGAACTCCAATATCGCAACCAACTTCAGCACCTCAACAGATCCTATTACAGATGATAAGGGAGATCTCAATCATCGACATGTGCGAAACGATCTTAATTTCAATGGGTACCTATAAATAGGGGATCGAGCTATTAAATCAGGTATGAGTTCTGTGATACAATTATAAGTACTAACTTGATCGTCGGATGGTCTTCGGCCGGCACCCCACTGGTGCCATTCGAGGTGATGTCCCTTTGTTTTGTAGGTAAACACCGCCGTTCCTAGTCGCGAGGATTTTCGCATCAACAGCTGGCGCCATTTGTGGGAACAATTAGTTCCCTAAAGAAATAATAATTCTGACCCGACTTTGCTCGGACGGCAAAAGAAAGGTTTTCAATTATGGAAACTATCCCAAAGTCATCCGTTAACAACGAGTTTCCTCCTTCTTATATAAGGATGAGTCTTTACATCATGATTCCCCGTGCATCATATTGGGGGCGAAATAGTAGGTTGTGTGATGTCACCCAATGTACGATGACAATAGTCAAATTTTGGCACGTTGACTCATGCACCAGTCCAATTTGGTGTCTTCCATCTAGCGGTGCTCGATCCTCTCATTATTGAGGTCTGGTCGCCCAAGACTAAACCCTATCAGCCAACTACCAAGGTCTGATTGTCGAAGACTAAGGTCTGGTTATTACGTGTCTACATAAACGGGTGGGTCTCCACCCACCAAAGAGATCACTACCAACAAAAGGGTCTCTACCTACCTCTACCACCGAGGATGTCTTTAGTAACAAAGTCTCCTTACTCCGCCCGTTCGTGCAATCAGGGTGGCCTTCTACACCCAAGAATGTATCGAGGCCCTCATGTCCAAGGAGGTCTAATGTCCCTCAAGATCTCATGTCCAATGAGGTCTGTATTCCCAAGGAGGTTCCTAAGTTAAGGGCGAGCATTGTATCCAACGAGGTACTCAACTAATAGTCACTCGACCATCATCTGTCAGACGTTGGGCACCACACCCCCATCCACCAGGCATCAAGCTGATCGCTGGACACCAAGCCTTCACCTACCAAACGTCGGTCGTCACCTCTCTTTCCTTGCAAGAAATGCCAATCGACTTCAGATTATGTAGAATTTTGGATCGATAATCCATTGCAAGTTAATTTTCAGTAATCATTTCTAACACAATCTAACATCTTAGACAACTGTAAATTGTTGCAGCACCAAGCGCCCCTTCCGCTGTATAAACGTTTATAGAATGGGTCATCACCCAAGATCCCACCATCATACTAGGGGCAGAATAGTGGATCACACGATATCAATCGTCAATCTACATATGATAATAAGGTTTAGAAGACTGACGTACCAACCTCGGTACATTGAGCTAGCCGGGTTTTTGGTTTCTTTATCCCAGCGACCCCCGGGGGCATTAGTCGTCCAAGACCAATGTTTGATCCTCTGAAACCATAGCCTAGTAAGTCTCTACACATCGAGAAGGACTCTAAGTCCAGTGAAATTTCTATAATCAATGAGTCCACCATATCCAAGGTGGTCCCATGCCCAATGAGGTTTTTAACCATCAAGCACCAATGATCGTCTCTTCTACTAGGAACCAAGCTTAGTCACATGCACTTCAATCTGACGGGTCATTACCACCATAGCCACAGAGCAGGGCAAGCATAAAGGATAAGTCCACGAAAGTGAAAAACTTTTACTCCTTTATTAAAGGGCAAGTTCACTGAACTAAAAAAAATGTATATTCCTTTATTAAAGGGAAAGCTTATAAAGCTTAGGCAAAATATCTTCTTATTAAGGGGGCGAGCTATGTGAAAATTAACCATTTATTAAAAGAGCGGGCTTAGTGAAGCTTGAAATCATTATTTCCCTTTTTAATAAGGTAAGCTAAGTGAAACTTAAACATATTACGAACCCCTTACCAAAGGAATAAGAACAACTACTTCCCTTATTAAAGGGCCAAGATATCAATGGTCAAATAGATCTAAACACGACTTTAAAAAGAGAAAACGGTTCCAACACCAAAAGTTAGATCATAAAGGTGCGCCCAGGGGTACAACCCTTGGGCAAACACATTGCCTAATGGTACAACCCCTGGTTATCAGAAATCAAGGTTTTGTCATCTAGAACAAAGGCCTAGTCATCCAAGGCTAGTGCCTAGTCAGCCCAAGTCTGGTCATCAGAGACCAAGACCAGGGCTTAATCGACAAAAGTCTGGTCATCAGAGACCAAGACCAGGGCCTAATCTACAAAGGTCTAGAAATCCAAGATCAAGGCATGATCACAAAAAAAAAAAAAAAAAAAAAAAATCCCGCCTCGAGAATAGTAACCCGGGGTGAAAAAAAAAAATTTGCCTCGGGAACAGCACCTGAAGGTACTGTTCACATCGGGAATACTAACCTGGGGTGAGAAAAAAAAATCCTACCCGTGGAACAGTTCCCAGAGGTACTGTTCACATCGGGAATAGTAACCCGGGGTGAAAAAATATATGTATTTCCTAGTCCGTTTCAAACCACGAAATAAGGGACAATTGATGGGGAAAAAAGTAACCCTAGGGTTGACCCACCACCATTCCTCTCCAACTTGAGGATATAGAGATATTGTTATTCAACTGACGAATAGGATAAGGTGAACCCCAATATCGCAACCAATTTCATCACCTCAACAGATCCCGTTAGTGATGATAAGGGAGATCTCAACCATTGACATGTGCGGAATGACCTTGATTTCAATAGGGAACCGTAAAAAGATGATCGACTCATTAAATCAGGTATGAAAAAAATAAAAATAAAAATAAACATAAAAATAAAAATAAAAAAACCCTTAACATTGAATGCATAATAATTTTGTGATACGATTACAAGTATTAACTTGATCGTTGGAGGGTCTTCGGCCGGCACCCTACTGGTGCCATTCTAGATGACGTGGTCGCGAGAATTTTCACATCAACAATATTATTGGACTCCCTTTTTATCTTGCTCTTGATGGCTATATATGGATTCTACCTATTGATATGGATATCTGTTCAAAATTTAAGAATTTGTGTTATTTATGTTACCGGTGGAACTCACAAAATTGGGCAAAGGACTGGGCTAAGTCCATGGATCAATTGGGTGTTGACGATTTCATTAGTGAATTGTGCACAAACATATATATCCCCGCGCGCGCGCGCGCGCGCACTTCATATGACCTATGATTCAACATGGACCAAAGTGTATTATGTATAAAGTAGGTTTGATTTCAGCACTACACATCACACTCCTATCAAATAAGTTGGAAACAATTGATTGGAATACTGGGCATCAATCAACAATATGATCAAACCATTTTTTTTTGGTTCCCCTACGGTGGCACAAGTAGCCACTGGACGAAGTGACAAGAAAGAAAGCATTCGAAACTTCTGCTATTTGGAGATGAGATTGGAGAATGTGAGAAAAAGGGGAGGGAATCTCTAAATAGAAGGAAGGGTATTTTGGATATTAAAATTAAATGGTCTGACAATTTTTTTCAAATTTGATCACTATTTACCTATTGTTGAGTTTAAAGTTACTATAAAACAAATTTTTTTAAAAAAATTTTGGTCATTAAAATCTATTTTTTCCTTAAATTAATAATAATAATCAACCTATACCAATTGTGGTCTTTTATTATTTCTTTTTGATATTAAAAAATAGAGTAAATTACACTGTTGAGGTGCGCTCACGATACCCCTAACTAAAAAACACTTTCTTTGTGTGTAAAGATATTTTTTTAATAACCTAATATTCATGTTCGTGGGTCGTGTCGTGTTGACCTAAATTTATTATACTAAATAGTTTAATCTGAACATGACTTGTTTAATATTCGTGTCAGAAACTCTTAACGCTAACCCAACCTATTTAATAAACGAGTTACACGTGTAACTCGTTTAATGACTTATTTACTAAAACAAAAATTTATATTATTTAAATTATTAATAATACTCCATCAAACAATAAATAGTAGAAAAATATAAGTTTCAATATATTCAAATTTCTAAATATTATTTTTCTAACTTATAAAAGAGTAAATTATAAGACACAAATTTAAATAATTATTTTGGAACCTAAATACAAATTTATTTATGACATGTATTGTTAAACGGATTATACGGGTTGAATCACTTCAACCGAAATACGACACGATTAACTAAATGAGTTAATCGTGTCAATCCACTTATGATCCAAATCGTCAATTCGTGTTCGAATCGTATTGACTTATTAAATTTTGTAACCCCTAAACTCACTCATCCTTTGCCTTTGATCATTTGTAATTAGTTGGCTTTGGGCCTTGTTTGCCTTGGGCTTGGGATCTCTTTTGTTTGAATTTCCCCATTTGCTCTATTTTGTTCTTATGTTTATACCAATTCAGCAAGTCCATGTAAATATTTCTAGGAAAAAAATTTCTATATTTATAAAATTTGTCTTATGTTTATCCAATTCAGCAAGTCCATGTAAATATTTCTAGGAAAAAAAATTTTACATTTATAAAATTTGCTTAACTTTCACAAAAAAAAAGAAAAAATAAAAAGAAAAAATAAAAAACCAAACTTTTATTAGAGTTGAGTCACCAATATAGAATCCGAAGAAACAAAATCTAATAAATTATACCTGAATAATTTCCTAAAATAAGATTATAAGATGGGAATAATCGTATAGGCTAAATAAAATATATGCACGTGGAAAAAAAAAATGAAAAGAAAAAATTAATACTTTAACCAAATCCGAATTTAGGTGACTATAATAATGATCTCCCACTATGTGATGTCATCATGACATCATGTGATGGGACTTACCACTCCTCTCATACATAAAATTGCCATTCATAAAATAAACCGATACTTTGACCATCACGTTAATGAATAATGATAATAATCAATGTCAAGTTCTCAACAAAACACACACATGAAAACATTACAAATACTCGTATCAAGCAATTTGAATTCCTAAACCACCTTATATTGATAAATATTTGAATTTTATGAAAAAAAGAATGAAATTATGCAATACAAAAAAGACAATATGAATAGGAATATCTCTAGTCTACTATTATATAGAGTCAACCAAACATATTTAAGAAAATTGTAAAAATGTATGGCAAAAGAACCAAATAGTTACTTATCAAAAAAAAAAAACTCGCCATATTTTAATAAGTGGGCAATATTTGTGTGCTGTCTCAAACAGTATTACAAACACTGAGTAGTTTGCAATACTGCAACATTACTCAAACAACCATTTGATGTAATTATATTATTAAATATAAAATATACACATATAATTATTTTTTATTTGGTTCGGCTCAGTCTAGTCTTAATACTGGGATCGAAACCCAAACATAATAGTATGACGATTCCTTAATTTTGAAATGCGAATAAACTTGAAGGAACCGAACCAAAAAGTAGTTCAAATTAGATTAGATCCATTTAACTTTATAAGCGTCCGGAATTTATTTTTTTTTAACCTGATAATAAGAATAGCCATACTGTATGTACAAAACACATCTATAAATAGCAGTACAGAGGCAACAAAGTCAAGCCGAAAAAAAGACAAACAAATCATGAAGCAAAATAAAAAAAATAAAAAAAAATGAATAATACATTCCAGATTTGTTGAGAACAGGGCCGGCTCTGAGATTGAAAAAATCTCAAGAGACCCTAGACAGACTTTAAATGTGAGGCCCTCTATGCATAAGTGATATGCTTGTCCTAATTATTATATATATATATATATATATTAGGCCCCTTTTTGTTACATTTGGTTAGACTTTTTTTTTTTTTTGGTAGCCCATCATTCTTGAGGCCTTTTGTTGCGGTTATAATTTTTTTTTTTTTGGTGGCCCAACATTCATGGGCCTATAAATTTTGATTCGCTGCATTTTTTATTTTTTTTTTAGCCCATCATACATGGGCCTATAAATTTGGAGGCCCCTTATATTCTGAGGCCCTAGGTGACCGCCTTGGTCGCCTTGGGCCAGGGCCGGCCCTGGTTGAGAATGAACCACCGCTTAATAACAGAAACTATCAAGGGAGAAGAGGGGAGTGACCCAAAGGTTAAGTCATCATTAAGGTAACAACTCCAAAGCTACACCCACAAGGTGCGTCTGACAAGGAAAAAAACCACCCTATCCCTTGCACAAGCAGAAACAGATTTAACAAAACAAAAGCAAAAATGACATAAAAATCACCCAACAAACTTATTATTATACACCAAATTTATTTAGTCTACGGGAGGTAAGAAACGACACCTCCCCACTCACGTGAAAAAGAGTGCGGAAGAAAACAGACGGGGAGTGCGAAGTTGAAGAAAACAGACGTGGAATGCAAAGTTGAAAGGCGGCAGAAAGGGTTGTTTGGACGACCCTTCTGCGTCTGAATCCAAAGAGAAAAACTTCATTCTTTCGTGCATAGTGCACCTCATTAATAAATAAATGGATCCTATCAGTGGGCCCTACCAGTGGGTTCCACCTTGATTTTGGTGAGATCCATTTTCTCTAATCCAAGGTGACTTTGCCACGTCAATTTCTCTCTAAATCTCTTCAAATACCCACAATATTTGTTTAGGCGCCGGAGGATTCAAAAGTCTGGGAAACTAAAACGTTTTCTCTCTTCCAACGTTTTATAGTTCTCTCTCTCCTTCTCTCTCTCTCTCTATATCATCTAATTATCTTTTAGTGGTCCATCTTCTTCTTCATATTGAACAGATATTTTTTTTAGTCTCAGGTGAGTTTTTCTTCATATTCAACAGAGATTTTTCAGTCTCAGGTGAGTTAAAATGATTATAAATCTAAAATTTTTAGTTCTTTACCTCGTATCTATAAAACTCCATTATTATTATTATTATTTCATTTGTAATTATATCATAATTTCAGAAGTCACGATTGAAAAATTATGTTCAAGTCGATTGCAATTTCTTTCTCTGGTTATTAATCTATCTATCTAATATCTCACTTTGCTTTCGATATTAAGTGATTTGTGTTCTTCTAACGATGGCTTTACTTCTCAGTTCACTTGTGATTTGGAGCATTTATTGCTTTTCTACTCTTCCTTTTTTAGTTTTAAATTAAAATGAATGGCTGCATTGTTGAGCTTATTATGCTATTATGTGTGTGTGTGTGAGATAGGCAGTGCAGTTCTATTGTTTAGTATTTTAATTCACCCACAAAAAATTGGTGGCATGAAAATCAGAATGTAAGTATAGAAATAAATGACTTTTAAACTATCTTCTATGCTATAGAAGCCCAACCTTTGGATCATGCAGGACATATGATTACGTGAAGTTTCGAAACAGCCCCTTTATTTATTTTTATTATTAATTTTTTTTTTTTTGGGAAGTCACCATATTCCTTTTGTTTGTTTTGTTAATGTTTTTAGAATGGGTGGAAGTTCTTTTGATGATGAATTGGATTTCACTTCTCCTTCAATTGGAGGGGTTCGAACTGTGGTTCTGGTTGGACGCACCGGAAATGGCAAAAGTGCAACCGGGAATAGCATCCTTGGAAGAAAGGCATTCACTTCAAAGGCTAGTTCAGCTGGGGTAACTAGTACTTGTGAGCTGCAGAGTAGTCAAATTCTTAATGTCATCGACACTCCGGGATTATTTGATTCTTCTGCTGGATCTGAATTAATCGGCAACGAAATTGTCAAATGCATCAATATGGCGAAGGATGGTATTCATGCTGTCCTGGTAGTTTTGTCGGTGAAGGGTCGCTTCTCCAAAGAAGAAGCAGCTTCCCTTCGTAGCCTACGGACTTTCTTTGGAACCAAAATTAATGATTACATGATCATTGTTTTTACTAATGGTGACAGCCTTGAGGAGGAGAGTGAAACACTACAAGATTATTTGGGCCGTGATTGTCCTGAACCTCTGAAAGAAATTCTTGAATTGTGTGAAAATCGGCAGGTTGTTTTCGACAACAAGACGAAGGATGAATGCAAGAAATCTGAACAAGTTGGGCAGCTTCTTTCCCTTGTGGACGAGGTCATGGCACAGAATGATGGACGTCCATATACATATGATATATTTCAACTCCGTGATCAAACAGGAGAGGTTTCGAATGGGGAGATGCCGACTTCATATGAGGAACAGGTCAAGCGAATAACAGATGTGATTGAGTCGAAGATGAGAGAGAGCACTTGTATGCTTCACAAACAATTGAAGGAAGAGCAAGATGCACGAATGAAGGCAGAAGATATTTCCCAAGCTGCTAAAATGAAATCTAATGATGAGATGCGTAAGCTGAGAGAACAACTTCGGAGAGCCCAGCGTGAGATGGGGGAGCTTCGCAACAATCCAGATGTGTGCGCCATTCTATAGGATTATATATATATATATATATATATATATATATATATATATATAGATATGCTAGCTTTTGATGTATTTTCCGACTGAAGCAGACTTTGAATCAAGTTTTTTGAGCCGTAATTAAAATCGCTACAGGATGTAGCTAGTTTCTTTAATAACTGTAGTGGCTTTACTAATTAAAATTTAAAACGACTAAAAAAAGGAAAAAAGAAAAGAAAAGAAAAGAAAAGAAGTAGTAGTCAGTATACAACCTATTATTTCCATAACCATTAAATATCATTTCATTAATAGGTTAATATCCCCACATATTAACAAAAAAAATCAGAAAGGGTGTTTTTGCGCCAAAAACCAAAAAAAAAAAAAATCTAATAAGGGATTTTGTGAACTTTTTGCATCTAAGGAGGGTGTTTCTTGCACTATATGTAGTGGATTAAACCACATAGTAAGGGGGTATATATATTACTAATCTAGTCTTATGTGCACATTAGCTTGTATTTTTTTAAAAAATAAAGTTTTTTATTTTATTTTATTATATATATATATATATATATCTCTAACATTCAGTATTTTTTTTTTTCTTTCTCTAGCATTGTATCTTTCTCTTTATTTTTCATCTTTTTAAGTTCAAATTGGATTGGTGAAGTGTTTTATTCAAAAATTATATAAGAAATATAGATTATTTCTTTATATGGATCCGTAGTGGTGAATTACCATTTGAGATTTTTATTCATAACATGATTAAATTTAATTAGTAGTAATTTTATCTAATTAATTAGTAAGGCTGGTCCGTGATCTTATTCTTCACATATAATTTCTCATTGCGCAGAATTGTATGCTAAGATAAGTTTTGCTTATCATGTACATTGGTAGATACACTAGTCACGTGTGTCTCTACGGTTTTACCAATATAATTAACCATGATTTGGTGAATTTTGACTTCTTTTATTATCCTTCTTTAGCATAACTGATGGGTGACTTCTTTTTTCATTTCCTTTCCTACCTAGTGATCTAAAAGCAAGAAAGGTGAATTTTAAAGAAAAATTATTAACTGTTTTATGATATTAATATATTAATTATTAAAAGATTAATTTTATACTTTTTTATTTAAGACGTCAAATTATATAAAGTCGTTAGGTTCATTTGTAACCCAAATAGATAATTTTGAAATAGTATAATATTTTAGGAGAAGTATTTTGTTTTTAAGCTAACAGAAAACAACAAAATATGAAGAAAAATGATTGAATAATTTGTTGGAGGCGTTCAACAATAACTTTCACGCGTCTTGCTCCATCTTTATTTGTATTACTATCAAATATGTCTACTAAATATTTATTTTTATAATTTTATTTGTATTTTTGTCATTAAAGTAAATATTGTGTATGACCATCTTTATTTATATTACTATTAAATATGTCTACTAAAAATGATGAATCAAGATCTGAAAAACTTGAGAGGAAGGGAAACTAATTCATTGTAAAAAATTCGTGCTCTTTATAAATTTGCTATAACTAACAATCAAAATATAACAAATACTTTGCTGTACATTTTCAACTTTGGGCCGTAGTAGAGCTTGAGACATGGTTGTACACCAGCCCACCTAATTATTGGGCTAAGAGTTTCATTCCATTGTCGATTTGGGTTTTTAGGGCAAAATGTTCATCATTCAAACACTCTCAGAGAACAGCAGAGAGGAGAGATCCAGAATGAGGGAGAAAATCGAATCCTTGCAAATCTATGAAGCTCCACACTTTACAGGCAAGTACTCATCTCTGCACTCTTCGCTTTGATTGATAGCATATTATATGTGTATGTATCTTCAAGAAATGAGGACTATATATCTCTGCAAAAGTCTCATCTCACTCTCTCTCAATAATTCTTCATATCTCAACAAAACACCAATCTCTCTTTTCTCTCTCCTCTTCTCCTCTTCCTCTCCGAAAAGCCCCAATGCGGTGGCTGATTACTTGATTGAGAGACACAAAATTTCTCCTGAAACTGCTTCGAAAATCTCTTCCTCTCCAAGAAGCCCCAGTCTGAAAAGGCCTGAAAAGATCGATTCGATTCTGTCATTTCTCGAGGAAAGTGGTTTTTCGGATACCAATCTCGAGCGTGTCATCAAACACGCGCCTCACCTTCTCTCTGCAAATCTTGAGCTTTCCATCAAACCCAAATTCAAGTTTTTTCAAGAATTGGGTATTTCTTCTAGCGATATTGTGAAAATTGTTTCGTCTGACCCTCTGCTTCTAACTCGTAGCGTTGATAGTCGGCTGGCCCCATCGATTTTAGCATTGAAGAGTGTTTTGGGTTCGAATATGGATGATGTGTCTAGGGTTTTAAAGAGATCCGGACAGTTTTCGAGGTATGATTTGGCGAAAACTATGATACCCAATATTGAATTTATTATGAAGAGCTGCGGTATGAGTTCGACACAAATTACCCAGTATGTGTATAAATGGCCAAGATTATTCATGTATAAACCGACGCAGATGAGAGAATATGTGAAGAGGGTTGATGAGATGGGCATTGACAGGAAGTCTAAGATGTTTGTTCCTGGGATTCAGGCTATTCGTTCGATGTCTATAGAGAATTGGGAATTGAAATTGGAGATCTTTAAGAGTTTGGGATTTTCCGAAGATGACATTCTTTCCGTTTTTAGGAGGGCGCCTTTGGTGTTCTCTCTGTCAGAGAGGAAAATTAATGAGAAAACTCGGCTTTTGCTTAGCACGGGCAAATGTGATATCTCATATGTTGTTAATTACCCAACCTTACTTACTTACATTGTTGAGAATAGGCTCAAGCCACGGCTAAGAGTTATGGATGTTTTGGAAAGCAGGAATTTGCTTCTTCAAAAGCTGAGTTTGGTAACTGTATGCAAGATGCCTGATAAGAAGTTCTTTGAGAAATATGTAGTCCCTCATTCAAATGAAGTCGGCGAATTATTTGTGGCACGTTGAAAGCAGAAATATGTGCTTCATGATTTAATACCTAGAGAAGGGGTGAGACTGAATCTTTTTCCCAAGAAGCAAACAACTTGGTAAGTAAGTACTCTTTTGCACTAGATGTTCACAAATTATCTTGTTTCCATATGGTGTATTACTGAGAAAAACATGGATTAATTTTCCAGGTTGCTGTTTCATTTCAAATGTGTTGAAATATATCCTTAATTTAACATTTCTTTTTTCTTTTTGTCTTTTTTCAAATTTTCAACTGAGGCATCATGTTGAATAATTCTGATAGGCATCATGTCAATTGAGACAGCTCTGTGAACGATCTAATAATTTCTCAAGAGAATATCCCATTCGTTTATTATTTTCATCTTTTGTCCAATACCACCGGAAATAAGTTTGTTATGAACTTAATATATAGTCTAACACAATCAATTCAAAATGATGATTTCCAACAGTCTATTAAGTTAAAATCTATCAAAATATTAAAGGGAAGTGGCATCATTAAACTCTACTAGAACCATTAATTTATTCAATTCTTGTGTAAGTTCTATTTTAGAACATTAGTTATTTAATTTAGGGTGAATTGTAAAAAATTCCCCTCGACTTTCACCCGATTATAAAAACATCCCTTATGAATATTTTTAGCAATTAACCCCCCCTCAACTATCATAAGGGGGTCATTTTAACTAATCTATGTTAGAGTGATTATCTGAGGAAAATTATAGGACAAAATTATTCTTAGAATCAAAATAATACATTAGTATTACTAAAGTACCCATCACTTATTTATATATATATATATTTTTATTATTTTTTTTAACTGCATAAAACACTAAAAGAGGTTTCTGATCTTGAAACGAGGCCTTTAATTTTTTTTCTTTCAAAATGTTCTTGCATTTGGAATATATATAATAATATGGTAGTTATTTATCAAATGTCAACATAAATTGATTTTGGTGGGAAAAAAAAACTTGTAACACGATTTTTTTTTATTATAAAATAAGATAAATAAATAGATATATATACGAGATCAAAAAATATCAGTACCATGATTTTTTATAAAATTTAAAAGTAGAAATTTATAAGATTCTAAAAAATTATGGATATAGTATATCCAAAAAAAAATCCAGTGGAGGCGTCCACTATAGTATCAAAACAAAACCCTCATCCCCCGCCCCCACCCCCTCCAAAACATATTTCACACTTTTTTTTTTTTTTTTCGTCAAAAATATTTCACTTAAATAAAAAATATTTGTTTGAACTATCTTTAATTATTTATTTATTCCGTAGAAGAAGCGTATAAAATTGGATTTATTTCAATATCATAAATCTTAATCCCAATACTTTTCTATCAAATTGTAATATGTTACACACACACACACACACATATATGAAAAAAGCCACTTCCTCCTAATTATGAGATGATTTTGCCACATAGTTTGATAAATTTTTACTTTTTCTTTTTCTTTTTCTTTTTCTTTTTTCCACCAAAATCAATTTAAGTTGACATTTGATAAATAACTACCATATTACTATATATATTCCAAATGCAAGAACATTTGGAAAGAAAAAATCAAAGAGCTCATTTCAAAATCAGATGTCTCATTTTAGTGTTTTATGCAGGTAGAAAAATAAATAAATAAAATTGAGTGGTGGGTACTTTAGTTTTAAGGGTAATTTCGTCCAAAAATTTTATCACACAATCACTCAAACGGATGTTTCATGTTAAGGGTAATTTTGTCATAAAATTTTTCTCACATAATTACTCTAACAGAGGTTAGTTAAAATGACCCCTCATGATAGTTGGGGGGTTAATTGCTAAAGATATTCATAAGGGGTATTTTTTACAAACGAATGAAAGTCGATGGGAATTTTTTGCAATTCGCTCTTTAATTAATTTATTAATTCATTATATATTCTTCAACTTTCTAACTTTAGATTGATTCAAAGTGGTTTACGACTTGTTCATTAGCAAGGATTGCATTTGCTAATGATTATTTGTTAGCATAAATAGTTCAGCTATGTCTAACTTCTTTTCATGTCCTGCCTAAGCTGTCTCTAAAGAGTCTTTTAGAGGGTTTTATTGGTTAGGCTCGAGATGGATTGGGCTTTGCAAATTAAATTCAAGGAAACTGTGCAAGCCCATTAAAAACTGAAAATAAGTCCAGCCCATTTGATTATTTATTAGCAGATACTAACATTTGATAAGAATGCTATATTGGAAGAATTTGAAGCGTTAAAAATAATAATATGATTCATTATATCACCTAGTGAAACAAAGATACTAGAAGAACAAAGAGTCTCATAAAGACCATTAAAAACTGAAACTAAGTCTAGCCCTATCTTTATGAGGACAATAGGCGCACATGTTCAATGGAAACAACAGATTAGTTTAACCAAAAAAAAAAAAAGGAAAGTGAAGCCAGTTGTATTTGATATAAATAGCAAATTAAAAACTATTCGATTCGGTTAGATAATTTTATGCAAGTGTTTGGTGTAAGTATCACTATTTATATTTTATTTTATAGTGCAAACAAGAGTCAAGATTTTTGAGAATGTATTGGCAAACATGGTGATCGCGGCATACGTCTACCTCGACGGTGCACTCCACCAAAACAGCCTCTCAAAATGCTGTTTCTATCCAAAATCAATTCATCGACCAAAGGCTGACTGCAATCTAGCGCTTGGAAGTCTCGAATTGAATCAGCGGTTGATTGGGGTCTCGAGGATGGTTTCGTAGATTTGCCTCTCAAACATACTGTATGTGTTTGAGGGATACCATGGATTCGCTTATCCTCTGCCTTGAATCCTTTGTGGGCCAGTTTTGTTTCCTTATGTTTATACCAATTCAGCAGGTCCATGTAAATTTTTCTAGGAAAAAAAAATGTAAATATTTCTATATTTATAAAATTTACTTTAACTTTTCAAAAAAAAAAAAAAAAACATTTATTAGAGTTGAGTCACCAATATAGAATCCCAAGAAACAAAATCTAATAAATTATACTTGTATCAAGCAATTTGAATTCCTAAACTACCTTCTCTCTCTTCAATTACCCAAAAAATTGGTTTAGGCAGCTCGAGGATTCAAAAGTCTGGGAAACTACAATGCTTTCTCTCTTTAATTACTCACAAAACGTTTTATATATCATCTAATCCTTCTATCTCTCTCTATATATATATCATCTAATCCTTCTATCTCTCTCTCTATATATATCATCCAATTATCTTTTGGTGGTCCATCATCTTCTTCATATTGAACAGGGAATTTTCAGTCTCAGTTGAGTTGAAATGATAATAAATCTTAATTTTTTAGTCATGTACCTCATATCTATAAAATCCTAATTTATTTATTTATTTGTAATTATGTCATGATTTCTTAAGTCATGAAAAATTATGTTCAAGTCGATTGCAATATCTCTCTCTTTTTATTAATCTATCAATCTCACTTCTCGATATTAAGTGATTCCTAAAGATGACTTTATCTCTCACTTCACTTGATTTGCAGGACTCTTTATTTTTTAGTATTTAATTATGTGTATATAAATGATTTTAGGACAAGACTTATCAACTCACCATTGAGTAGGTCATCAATCCAATCACAACACAAATGCACAAAATCTCAAAAGTAATCCGCAGTTTTTAGTGGCGGCGATGAGCTTAATGAAGATGATACAACGCTGGGAGATTACTTGGGCAACGAGTGCCCTGAAACTTTAAAGGAATTCCTGAAATGGTGTGAAAATCGAGTGGTGCTTTTTGACAACAAGACGTACTAAAGATGAAAGCAAGAAATGCGAACAATTGCAGCAGCTTCTTTCCCTTGTAAACACAGTCATGGCACAGAATGGTGGGCAGCCGTACGCGTATACTGGTGGGATATTTACTGAAGGTGACAAGAAACTCCGTGATTAAATAGAAGAGGTTAAATCAGAGATGAAGGGTGAGATGCAGGGATCATATGATGAGGAGAAGGTCAAGCGAGTAATAGATTTGATTGAGTCGAAGTTCAGAGAGATCACTTGTAGGCTTGAGCAGCAGTTGGAGGAAGAGCGTAGTGCACGGTTGAAGGCTGAAGAGAATGCAAAAGCTGCTCAGAAGAAATCCGAGGAGGAAATCTGTAAGCTGAGAGAAGAACTAGATAGAACCAACAGAGAGAATGAGGGGCATCGCAACAATCAAGGTCAAAGTCTGTGCCATTCTATAAATGGAGAAAGAAGAAAACGATGGAGTATTTTGCGAACAACGGCTTTGATGAATCAAAGAAAAAGTATTTGTCGTCCATATTAATACAAGTTCAGTGACTGATTAAGGGAAATTGTTATTCATATCTAAAAATAGTCTGTGAATTACTAAATTAAGGGATATTCAATTTGAACAAACTCATATCGGATTAAAGTAGGGGTGACAAATGGGCGAATTGAGTTGAATTTGGACTGGGTTGAAAATGAAAGGGTCAAATATAGGTCAAGACCCATACCTAAAAATAGTCTGTGAATTACTGAATTAAGGGATGTTCAATTTGAACAAACTCATATTGGATTAGAATAGGGGTGGCAAATAGGTGGATTAGGTTAAGTTTGGGCTGGGTTGAAAATGAACGGTTCAAACATGGGTCAAGACTTATTCAACTTGTTCAGACCGGGTTAAAATGGGCAAGTTAAAATGTACCGGGTTAACCCGTTATGACTTGTGGATCCAATAATTATTATTTTTAACTATTTTTTTTTTTTAAAAAATTATATTTTTAATTATTTAAATTTTTTAAAATTAATTTTTTAAAATTTAATAATTTTAATTTTTAATAATTTTAATTTTAAAAACTTTTTATTTTATTTTAGTTTTTATTTTTTAATTATTATTTTTTTGAAAGGTTTTAATATTTTATTTAATAACAAATAAAAAAATTAATTTCAAACTCAGCAATATTTATCGAGAAGAAATTTCTAAAGAAAAATTTTAGAGAGAGAAACTTAGAAAGAGGTGATTGATGAGAAACATATTTATAG